ATTTCAGCTTCACGCAATTCCTCTAAAATTGATAAAATTTCGTTAGTATAACTGAAATTTCCAGCAGTTTGAGATGCAATAAATAAACGAAGTCGATCTACAAGTTCATTGGGATCATCCCAATAAATAGAATCGGTAGGATGATTCTGTTTATGTTTAATCATATATTGTGGTAAACTTTCTCCACTTTTTGGTATATATTTACTGATTATGTCATACTAATAATTCTGCCATAAGTGTTTTCATCTTCTTTTGTTATTCTTGATTTATCAGGTGAATTCATAAATAACAATTCCAATAGACCAGAAGTAGTATTGTATTTTTTATCACCAATATAAAGAAAATCATTGTCGAACCTGACTTCAGAATGACCCGTCATCAGTCGATTACCTTTTAACTTTCGTATGCTATACTTTGACAATCACATACATAATGTACAATTTAATGTATTCACGGTGAATTTATACTAATGAAGCAATCATATTATCTTCTATATCGCCCATTATTAAGATCACTGTCTTTATCAATTACCAAGGAGCCATATTTATCACTATTCCAGCACATTGAACATATATCTCGAAAATGAGAAAAAGTCATGTCAGTATTTACATGATCATCGTGTTTTAGATTCATGTCATCTTGCCTGAAAAGTACAAGAAAGTTTGTATTGTCACGCACCAAATGTTTAGGAATTCGTGCATAAGTTTGACAAAGATAGAAGCAGTCAATATCTCTATGTCGTCCCATACAAAAATAGGTTTGCATATTATCTTGTTTTTCGCATGCTACGTCATCGAAATATACCTTCAATTGGTTCAATTATTTTTTTTTAAACTGATATTTAGGTTGGTTGAATGATTTTAAATACAAATAAATGTTTTCAAATTGTAGGCCATTGGGATGTACAATAAGTGCTAAAAGAGTCTTTCCACAATTTGATGGACCACAAATAACACCACGGACACTATTTGGTAAAAGTTGTCCGTGACGTTTGATATTTGTGTCTCGTGATAGGTCAAAGTTAATTGCAGGCAACTTAATGTCTTGTTGATTGAACTTTATCTTGATGTAGAATGACATTCTAGCTATACTTTTACATCTTTTATAGGTGTCGAGTTAGTCGTTCTTGAACAATGATAGTGCAAAGACGTATCAAGAAACGAGGTGCTAGTATTATTAACACACTTACAAACAAATTGCCATTTGCACTTTATATACCAGGATATCATTATTGTGGTCCACGAACTAAATTGAAGGAGAGATTAGCACGTGGAGATCCAGGAATCAATCCATTGGACGCTGCTTGTAAAGAACACGATATTGCATATTCGCAAAATCGAGATAACATTGAAGCTAGAAACGCAGCTGATAGAATACTTGCTGAAAAATCTATGAAACGTGTTTTTGCGAGAGACGCAGATATTGCTGAACGAATTGCTGCTTTAGGAATTTCCAACGTCATGAAAGTTAAATCAAAATTGGGAATGGGTTTGAAAGAAAAAAACAAAAAGGACAAGGGAGTTAAACATTTGCGAAAAGTTGTTAATTCAGCAAAGCTTATGTTAAATTCCAGTTCAGATCCTATTAAATCTGCATTAGCTGCTGCACGAAAGACTGTTCGCGATGCTGCTGGAAAGAAAAAAATCAAAGTTCCACGTATTATACCAATGCCGCCAGAAGTGGGAGGTACAGGGTGTTAATAAAAGGGTAACCGCAGAGTACACCACCGTAATCTACGTAAAAAACTGAATAAAAAATTCCTGTGCGAAAATTGCGTGCTAAAATTATTTTTAGAGTTATACGCGTTTCAAAGTCGTAAAATTTGACCAATCAGAGAGCCGGTCACATAATGATAAGCGTCAATTACAGTACAACGGAAATAAAAATTTATTGCATACATTGTTGATAAGTTCACGAAACGAAATGACGATCATGAATATTTAACGGTTAGAAACTTCGGGTGAAACGTGAACATAGGAAGCCTTCTGTTAAAAAAAAGATGATTGTAGATGAATGCGTTAATTAATAAAAAAATTAAGACAGAGAATAAAAAATGGAGAATTTTTTGTTTTTTTTCGCAATTTTTTTTAAAAATTGATAATCAATTCTTTGAATTTACTTAACATATGCTCAGAGCTATCATTAAAATAAGATTCTGACCTACCCACTAACTCAGAATTTGATCAGTCTTCTCACACTTTTTACCATACTGTTCTGACTTCGAGTCGGCCGGATAACTTAGTGGACTGTAATAATTAAGAGCAGAATAAGAACAAAAAGTTGGATGCTAGAAGGTTCCTTAAAATGATTCACAAACACCAATTTGTCTAGGTTTTGATGTTTTTTATTCAACAATAACACTTAACATAATCAATAGAACTTAATAATCACTACATATCTTTGAGTTGACTGTACATTAATTGTTTGTACATGTATGAATTGTCTGATGGTTATTTTTTCACCAAAAAAATAGTCTCAAAAACAGTGAGTAGCAACATTCACAGTATACATCAGAGTTGTTCGGGGGTGCGATGTATATGTGACTGTCCGTGAGGCACTATGGCGTCGACGCCAGTTCAGCTTCGCGCCCAAAGACACTACAACTGAATATACTGGACCACTGACACTGATAAGAGTAATTTTGATGCTTCACGTATGTTCGTGAGAGTTGTCTGAGTCTGTTTGACCGTACTTTTTTCTACAAAGGGTGAGCTGACTGCAAAAATCTGCGATTTGACTGCGAAAGGTTGTACAGAGATGACCGCGTGATTTGCCTGGAGCTAACTGACGCCACAAGTGCTCGACCGCGTGCTTGTTGGCGTCACTAGGGCCGTAGAGTTGCCTTCTGGGCCATGAGGGAGATACTTCCCGATGATTGGTCCAGTGAGTTGACTGACACGCCGGTGGACAAGTCCGGCATTACAAATTTTCAAATATTCTGAGACTTGCTGACTTGGGGCCCTCCAAGTCAGAACACATACATTGTGTGGAAAAAAACAGTGCTCAAAGATTAATCACAGATGATGCTAGAAGACAGGTCAGAAATGAATATGACAATAAAAAAGAGCACATGAAGATTAACATAATGATAACTTAGTCATTAGGATTAGTACAGCAAATTAATCAATGCAGTATTTATTTTAAGGAAAATCATCCAAGCTATATTCTGATGACTTGTCTTACATCAGCTCTTAGCTATTGTCATACTAAGATTCTTATCTGCCTCCTGACTCCGAATCTGATCAGTCTTCTTACACTCTTTACTATACATTGTGTACATAGAAAACAGAGTTCAGAGACGAAAGACATACATGGTTGGAGGACAGGTCAAAAACAAATGTGACAATAAGGAATCACACATGATAATTAATGAAATAATAACCTAGTCATTAGTCTTTAGATTCAGTCATAAGATGAGTCTAGCAAATTAATTAATGCAGAATCAATTTCAAAAAAATCATTTAATCCACATTCTGATGACTTGTTTTACATGCTTTGTTTGCTATTGTCTAGTTGTTTAAAAATGGCATTTTATTCTGTATTTTTTGCGACAAATAAAGTCCATGACTTAATATAATAATTGTCCATAGAGTTATTATAATGAACTCATCCAAACTTAATCTCATTTTCTTTCTTAGAGTCATGTATCTATTGCGTTCGTTCAATCACACTAGTATCTTTGTTTATAATCATGGCGTGATCTTATTGGTGAAACATTAACGGGTCCTATAGGCAATGAGGGACTCATGAGTCAGTCTTAAAAAATCATTGAGAGAGTAAGTGCATCTCACTCAGTGACGGTGTTTCTCCTGGGCAATTTTCGCTTATTATTGAGTTCAATCTTAGATATCATACTTATTGAAAGGGATTTTGGATTTATTCAACAGTCGTGAGTTCATTTTGCTATTGATCAGAGTCAGTAAGTGGTTTGACTACTTCTGGTGAGTTCAGTTGCGTATAAGTCACAATTTCTTAGAGGGAAACTCAAACGTTTCCATGGGATTGACCACAAGTCCTGCTGACTTATACCCTGAATTAGTATTGTCAAAGTTATGATCACTTTGCTACAGATCAAATACGTAAACGGTCATACTATCAAATCTTTGTGAAATTCAGTCACGAATTTCTACTGACTAAACGATTCGATCTGTTTCATTTTCAACTCAGATATATCAAGTTTGGAATCAAGTGCGTACACAGCCACAATTTTCAGTAGATTCATCACGAATCTCAACGAACATAAATTATCAGCTGGTTAAACCACTTGATTCACATACATTTTCAAGTTTTACTAAATTCTTCTAATGTATCATGGGTCTAAACACTGCATAATCTTTCAGTTAACGACCAAAATTCACATTTATTCATATTTTAGCGATATTCATCTTCGAGAAGCTGTGAAACTTCGTACGCTGCGGCCAGTCGTGTCGACGTGCTAACAGCAAATTATTATTAGTTTTATTGTCATATTTTAAATAGATTCATTAGTTGTCTTACAAGATAAAATCTTATTAAATTATTAAAGATTATATTATTATTATTCGAATTGATTAATTATTTAAGTATTTTTTAACACTAGTGGATTGGAGACTAAATAAATTAGTTTTTTTCTTTCATAATGAAATTAATTGAAGTACTTCATTATTAGCTTTGGCTATTAATGCTCAAAGCTTTAGTTTTATTCTATAAAAATAATTTCTGTTATCGGGAAGTAGCTCCTTTTACTTCAGAATTCATTAATATTTTGGTTAAAATATATTTATTGAGTTATTCTTGTATTGAACAAGAATATTTTATTTTATCTAGCGTTGAATGATCGCATGTATAGTTCGTTTTCCTCCCAAAAATTGGCCTCATTTGTTATTGCAGTTCATCGTGAATGTCGTTAGGTGACAATTTGTTTACGGCGTTACTATAGCTTTTTTTGCTTAAATAAATATCTATACGCTTCATAGTTGTACATTCATTATATCGTTAAGACTTTTCTTGAACTTTGCAAAATGGCTATATACGAACAATATGAATACGTAGATATGATACACGTGCTTCATGAGTGTCATGAAAACGTAGTAGACGCAGCAAGATTGTATGCCGAACGCTTCCCTGATCGTAATCGTCATCCATGCATTCAAGTCCTTAATCGCCTCCAAGATCGTATCCGCAATCATCGGCCCATCGTTCCAGTTCCTTCGAGAGATGTTGGTAATCCTCGAAATCACAGGCGAGATGCACAAATTCTCAATTACTTTGATCGTCATCCTGAATCAAGCACTAGAAGGGCTGCACGGCACCTCAACATCAATCACGTCACAATCCATAAAACTTTGAAACATGACGGTCTTTATCCCTATCATTATACTCCTGTACAATATCTAGAGGATGGTGATCTACCTGTTAGACTTCGGTTCTGTCGATGGTTCAGACGACAAGTGCGGTATGAAGACTTTCTAAAAAACATTCTTTGGACTGATGAGGCTATCTTCCGGCAAGATAGCCCATACAATTTACACAATGAGCACATATATGCCCATGAAAATCCGAGATGTGTCCGTGAAAAAATAACTCAGCGTCGGTTTCAAGTTCACGTCTGGTGCGGCTTGATTCATAATCAATTGGTAATTAACATCTTTTAAGTTTATTTTAACAGTATTTCCAAGCAAATTTCATTATCAGTATATTTTTAGAGCATTAACGTTAAAAAATAACAAGAAAATATAGTTTTTTTTTCATTCTTTGATTTTTTTAGTCTACTGTGGTTCTTTTTCTGACACGCAAAAATGTTGTAAATGATTCTAAGATACCAATCCTATATAACAGATCGGTCCAGTCATTCTACCGAATGCCGTCAATGGGGACGTTTACCTGGAGATTTTACGTGATCTCCCACAGCTGCTAGAAGACGTACCTCTGCAAAGAAGAGCAAACATTATCTGGCAGCAGTATGGTGCGACTGCTCATCGACGTAGGGATGTACTGAATTGCTTGGATAATCTATTTCCTGATGGATGGATAGGTTTGGAATCATGGTATCGAGAGTGGCCCCCCAGATCACCAGATATGACGCCGTTAGATTTCTTCTTGTGGGGATACCTCAAGGATAAAGTGTATGCTACTCCGGTACTAGATGAAAAAGATCTTAAAAATAGAATAATAGAAGAAGCCTTAGCCATTCCTCCAGAAATGATTAAACGAGCAACGAACAGAGTGTTAACCGTCGTCAATCAGTGTATTGAAGAAGATGGTGGTCACGCAGAGCAGCTACGATAGGCTGGAATGAAAAAGTTAGACGATTGGCGTGTCCCATATACGGGCACACACGAGCACATAAGTATGATAAACATTGTACCCTTGCACTCATGTGTGCCCGTGTATGGGATACGCCAATCGTCCCCATGATGATAGAATAGTTGCCAGTTTGATTATCATTGGTCATTTAGTATCTCTTGTTGAATTTGAGTTTAGTTTCTTTTGTTGAATTTTGACAACTTTTTGGAAAACTTAATGTAACAATAGCTTTAAGATCATGTAAGATGAGTCATCAGAATGAAGCTTGATTGATTTGTTGTAATTAATCCTTTATTTACTGATTCACTAGTCTAATTTGATTAACTAAGTCATCATTTGGTTCATCTTCATGTGTTATTCTCTATTGTCATATTAGTTTTCTTACCTGTTCTTTAACATCATAAGTTATTAGTCTTAAAACACGGTTTTTATCAACACAATGTATAATAAAAGGTGTAAGAAGACAGATCAGATACCGGGTCGGAGGGCAAGGAAAAAACTCAATATGACAATAGCAAACAGTCTATGTAAGATAAGTTATTAAAATAAAGCTTAAATGATTTTTTATAAATAAATCTTTCATTTAATAATGCACTAGTTGATGACGATCGACTAAGTCATCATTATATGTATTTTTATGTGTTATTTCTATGATTATATGAGTTTCTTGACATGCCTTCTGGCCTCGTATGTTTTTGATCTTTGAAGTCTGTTTTCTATCCACACAATGTATGGTAAAAAGTGTAAGCAGAGAGATCAGAAGCTGGGTTAGAGGGCATGTAATGAATTTCATCAAAAAGTAGCATAAAGTACTTGTCAAATGTCATCAGAATGTAGCTTAGTTAATTTGTCGAAATTAAACGTTTATTCACTCTTCCAACCTAATTAACTGGGGCATTATTTAGTTAATCTTCATGTGCTCTTTTTTATTGTCATATTCATTGCTAACCTGCTATTCTATAACATATTATAGAACGTAATCCACTGAATTTTAGTGAATTTTCAATGTTTCTCATGCTCCTATGGTTCAATTTATCAGTATAAATATGTAGAAACCTTCATCATTCTACAAGCTTACTCATATAAAAAGTTTGATAGGAAAATAAGTCACGAATATTGTGTAATTGTGATGTTTTTTTACAGGATGTCGAAAAAATCTCGTATTTGGACAGTTTATCATTGTATTCTGCCGGTCAATCTTAGCAAATATGTCTATGCAAAAACTACACTTGATGCATATTTGCGAAGATGTAAAATTACTTGTTTACTAATCAGAGACGAGTTGCCGGTGACGAGTTGTACAGCCTCAAGCATAGTGCATAATTTTTTGTCATCAAATCTCTCCCTCTTCACTTTCATTTATCTACTCACATTATCTATCTTTTCTTCCATCCATCTACTTATTAAATCTCAGTTTTTTTTTTCATGTATTTACTCACTTGATTTCTCTATTTTTTCTCATCTGTTTACTCACAGAAACTATCTCCTTGTTCTCATCCATCTACTCACTTATACACTACCTTTTCTCTCATCCATCTACTCATTAGATTCTCTCATTTATTCACTTACTTGATTTCTCTATTCTTCCTCATTCATTCACTCACAGAAACTCTCTCCGTTCTCTCATACATCTACTCACCCATACACTCTCTTCTCTTATCTATTTACTTACTCATACACTCCCTCTTCTCTAATCCATTCATTTATTAGATTCTCTCATTTATTCACTCACTTAATCTCTCTATTCTTTCTCATTTATTTACTCTCACAAACTCTCTCCGTTTTCTCATACATCCACCAACTCATACACTCTCTTTTCTCTTATCCATCTCATCATTAGATTCTTTCATTCATTTACTCACTTGATTAATTCATTCTCTCTCCTTTATTCACTCACTTGATTTCTCTATTATTTCTCATTTATTGACTCCCACAACTCTCCTCTCTCTCATCCATCTACTTAGTAAATCTTCTTCTATCCTTTCATTTATCTACCTCCTCATTTTTTTATTTTTTATCTATTTATTCATCTAAGTCTCTCTCATGTATCTTCTAGTTGTTTACCCTTCTTTCTTCTGTTCATCTTCTTATGTAATTTTCTGCCATTTTTTACATACGTAATTTGTTTTTTTTCAAAATTTTATTCACTCCCTTAATCTCTCTATTTTCTTTTATTCATTTACTCACTTAATCTCATTATTTTTAACTCTGTCTTTACTCTTATTTATTTACTCATAATACATGTCCTTTTTCCTAATCTACACACTCTTCTAATTCTCTCGCATCCATCTCTAATAGAGATTGAGTGAGTAAATTAATTTATTCTATGGTTATTAAAAATTTTATCTCTTAGACCTCTATTTGCAGGTTTAAGTGCAGTTGGTGCTGTAGCAGGTGGCGCTGCTGGCATTGCAAAAGCAATTAATGATGCTAGAGACGCCAAACGTCAAGTAGATGCAATAGCTGTGGGTAAAGGTCTACGTCCATAACCGCACAAGAGAGGATTAGGATTGTATTTGAAACTGGCAAGAAAAAAAAACTTTTAAATTTACCTCATCGTGCACTGACTGATGTTGAACTTTAAAAATATGCAGAAATCATGAAGATACCCTTACCACATAAGCTTATGAAATATCTTAATGTTAATAAAATACTGTACAATCATGAAAAACATCAAGATTACAGTACAGATAATTGCGGACACTTGTGTTTAAAATTTTTTACGCAGAAAAGTATAAAAGTAATATGCACTTTCCAATAAGCATCAGTCATAGATGATTCACTCACGTTAACATTGTCTGGACAAACGTCCATTCTAGAAGCGTTTTATTTTCCACCAATTGAATTATCATCATCTAAAAAATATACCCTAGGACTTGTAGAATTGTTAACCTTTAATTCCATTCCAAATATTGATAACGGCAATAATAAATGTTATTATACACTCAATGGTGAAAATAAAAGTATTAAAATACCCACAGGAAGCTATGAAATTGAAGACATTGAAAATTTTTTGAAGAAAGCTGATACTCAATTATCAATTTCTATTAAGCCCAATAATAATGAACTACACAGTAAAGTTTACAGTGAAAATGCAGCAATAAATTTCAAACTGCATGATTCTATTGGTAGTTTGTTGGGCTTTAATCCACGGCTTATTTCACACATCAGATTTACCAGTATCTATTCTGAAAATTAATGCATTGAGGATCGAATGTAATATTACGACAGGAGCAAACAATAATAATTAGTTGGTACATACGATTCACGAATTTCTCCCATCAGTTCCACCAGGATATAAGATCATTGAAGTTCCATCAAACGTCATTTATCTTCCAATCACCGTACAGACAATACATAATTTACAACTGCGCATTGTTGATCAAGACGGTCAATTGGTTAATTTACGTGGTGAAACTGTAACAATACGTTTACATTTGAAATCAGTGATGGGAATTGTTTATAAACCAATAGTAGGGGGAAGCTATAAAACTAACATATCATGCCTAAATCCCATCAGTCATCGAAGAAAACTCAAACGATTAAGCAAAAGTTCCCTTCATATTACGGGGAAATTTACAAAATCTAACGGAAATGCAGTAGCAGCAACATCAAGATTCGTTAATATGGCCGTATGCTATTTATTTGAAGAAATACAATATGAATTGAATGGTGTTGAGATTGATCAAAATAAAAATGTTGGTTTTACAAGTCTCATGGAGGGATATCTATCTCTTCATCCAGGTCAAAAAAATTATTTAGATAATGCAGATTGGGTAACTGGTAATGAAAGATTATGTAATGATAATGGATACTTTGATGTTTCGATACCGTTACATATGCTATTGAGATTTGCTGAAGATTATCATCGCATAATTCTCAATGCCAAACATGAATTAATACTCGTTCAAATACCGATCTTAATGCAATTGTACAAGCTGCAGCGGCACCTGAAGAAACGATCACGCATATAAAAATTGAATGGATAATTCCTTATGTCACTGTTGCAGACATAAAAAGAGAAGAATTGTTAAGTTACATTATAAAAGACCCACCGATTTCGGTGAGTTTCAGATCATGGTAATTATCTGAATATCCAATGCTGCCGAACACAACCAAACATGTATGGTTCGTAAAAACATCAACTTTACTGTAGAATCTACGCTATGTTATATTAGGATTGCACGCAAAAATGATGCTACGAAAGATGCAAGTCATTTCGATCACTGTGATTTGAGAGATGTAAAGCTTTTCCTCAATTCACAATGCTATCCATATGGTAACATGAATCTTTACATTAGTCACAATCAATTTGCTTCATTATATGATATGTATGAAGAGTTTCGACAACATGTTATGATAAAGAAGCAGAACCTCTGATCATGAAAAGAAAATTTATTGATATAGCACCACTTGTAGTGATCGATTGTTCTGAACAAAGTAAATCCTCAAAATCAGGACCAGTTGATGTTTAACTGGAGTGCGAATCATCAAAAGCTTTTCCTGCTAACACATCAGCCTATTGTTTGATCTTACATGATCGAATTATAGAGTATAAACCGTTAAGTGCGCAAATGAGAAAACTAACATAAAATATTGTAACAAATATATATATATTATATAATTATGATTATATTATTCATGTATTAATTGAATTTTTTTATGCTATAAATGAATTGTATACACGAAAAAGATTAATGTTAGATATAACATAATATGATAAGATAACTTATCGAGGACGTTAAAAATCGATATTATCACTGTCGATAACTTATCACGGTCGGTAAGTCGGTAACTTATCGTCAAAGTTATCGCGGTCAGTAATTAGTGCGGATCAAAACCCACTTTTTTGACTTGGCCGGTATTGCAGAGTGACCCAGAACCGGCCCTGCTTATCTACTCACGAGATTCTTCTTGAAAATATATAAATTTCGAAACTCTCACTCAGGATATGCACGATTGGAGCCGAAAGTACTTATAAT